GATCCATGCCTTTTTGCTATAAGAAGCATTAATATTTTTATTATGGGGTACTCCCAGACCCCTTATATGTGATTTAATATAATATATAGATGATGCTATTTTTCTAACATTCACAAAGTTCTGAATTCTAAAAAACATCTAAAACAGCTGTATTACATTTAGAATATATATATCCCTCCAGAATTGATGTAAGGAATACTGGTCTTTATCCGTCTCCCTATAATACCCAAATAAGATTTACTCCACTGAGACTTCACCAATCCAAGACTTGGTCCAGTTGTATAGTTTTACCAGGAGAACTGTTCTGTGCAGGGCGGTTGGTGGAGGTGGGGAGGCAGGGGTAGGAGGTTGTTTCTTTCTTTTAAACTAACCCCTAGGATTCACTTGTTCTGAGTTAGGCTGAGGATTTGACCTGGTGAGATCTCCTGCTTACCCATTGTACAGTGACTAGTGTTTACTTTAGGCCTGTGGCTGCTCTGATGGTGAAGAGAGCTTGTACGTCCATTATCAAGTGTTCATAGCAAGTGATCAGTATGGACTTAGGCCACTCCATGGATGTCCAGTTCCATGGATATTAGCTTCTGGTCATGAGCTGTCCCATTACCCCTTGGATATTGAATTGGACTGTTGATTCAGCCCCCTCATTCTCAATCCTGTTCCTGGGTCTAAGTCAATCTTCCCCAAACTCCTGCTACCTTTTTCTTTCTTCCTTTCTTTTATTTTTTAGTATGATCACAGCTCACTGCAGCCTCAACCTCCCAGGTTCAAGCAATCCTCCCTCCTACCTCACCCTCCCAAGTGGCTGGGACCATAGGTGTGTACCATCACACCCAGCCAATTTTTTAAAAAATTTTTGTAGAGATGAGGTCTCACTACATTGCCCAGGCTGGTCTCAAACTCCTGGGCTCAAGGAATCCTCCCCCTGTGGCTTCTTAAAGTACTGGGATTACAGGTAGGAGCCACCATGCCTGGACTCCTTTTCTAACTCAGATTTTCTGGCCACTCTCACTTCTTTGCAGAAATTCCCTTTACACTTTTTGGCCCATGAGTATATCATTTATGGTAAGGAAAATCCAGAGACAAAATAACTACACATACTGCCTCCCAGTTAATAACATGCCTCTTATAACTTGCCTTAATTGAGCTTTTTCATTTTTGTTTTTGAGTCAGAGTCTCACTCTGTTGCCCAGGCTGGAGGGCAATGGCACAGTCACAGCTCACTGTAGCCTCGACTTCCTGGAGTCAGGTGATTCCCCCACCTCAGCCACCCGACTAGCTGGGACCACAGTCTTGTGCCACCTCTCTCAGCTAAGAGCCTTTTGTTAATCAAACTTCTCCCCACCACATTCCACCACATCCCTATCCTTTACTTTCCTTGTTTTTTGAAAGAAAATGAATTCCTTCCTTCCCTTCTCCCTTCCCTTCTCCCTTCCCTTCTCCCTTCCCTTCCTTTCTCCCTTCCCTTCTTCCCTTCCCTTCTCCCTTCTCTTCCCTTCCCCCTTCCCTTCCCCTTCCCCCTTCCCTTCCCTTCCCCTTTCTGACAGTTTCTCTCTTTCACCCAGGCTAGGGTGAAGTGGCATGATATCAGCTCACTGCAACCTCTTCCCCCTGGGTTCAAGCGATTCTCCTGCCTCAACCTCTCGAGTAGGTGGATTTATAGGCAACTGCCACCACGCCCGGCTCATTTTTGTATTTTTAGTAGAAACAGGATTTCGCCATGTTGGCCAGGCTGGTCTCAAACTCTTGACCTCAGGTGATCCACCCACCTGAGCCTCCCAAAGCTCTGGGATTACAGGTGTGAGCCACCATGCCGGGCCAGGTTGAATTTATTTCTGATTTGCCTTCATAATTAATACCCATTAAAGCTAGATTCTGTTGTTTGAAAAATGGTCTTTTTAGCAACAATCAGAAGCTAAAAATTAAATTCAATATTGCTTTTGGAAGAGATCAGTGATACAGAATAAAAATTTTAAATATATATTTAATTTTATGAAACTAACTTATCTAGTTTATAAATATTTCATATTTGTATTCTAAGTGTTACTGTATTGAATCTTTATGAACTCTAGGCAGCATGGTGTAATAATAAGTTTCAAAACATTATGATAACTATTCATGATGTAGATTTTTCCTCGGCATCCACAATCAAAGCTTACCAGTCTTAGCTCTTGTCTCATTAAGACCCAGTCCTGTACTAAAACAAATATGAAATCTGATAAATTAATGAGAAATATTATTGACACATTAGTCTTTTAATAAGGGTCATCAGTATCTTTACCTGAAGAAATAATTGGGCTAGGTGCAGTGGCTCACACCTGTAACCCCAGCACTTTGGGAAGCCAAGACGGGCAGATCACTTGAGGCCAGGAGTTTGAGACCAGTCTGGCCAACATGGTGAAACCTTGTCTGTACTAAAAATACCAAAATTAGCCTGGCATGGTGGCGGACACCTGTAGTCCCAGCTACTTGGGAGACTGAGGCAGGAGAATTGCTTGAATCTGGGCGGCAGAGGTTTTAGTGAGCCAAGATCTCATCACTGCCCTGCAGCCTGGGCAACACGTTGAGAAAAGATGAAAGAAAAAAAAAAAAAGAAAGAAAGGGAGGGAGGAAGGGAGGGGAAGAAGGGAGGGAAAGAGAGAGAGAAGGGAGGGAGGGACGGAAGGAAGGAAGGAGGGAAGGAAGGAAGGGAGGGAGGGAAAGAGAGAGAGAAAGAAAAGGAGGGAGGAAGGGAGGGAGGGAAGGAAGGAAGGGAGGCAGGGAGGAAAGGAAGGAGGGAAGGGAGGAAGGAAGAAAGGGAAAGAGAAAAAGAGAAAGAAAAAAAGGAAAGAAGGAAGAGAAAGAGAAAAAAGAGGAAGGAAGGAAGGAAAGAGTTAAGTGCTCCTTTGATTAATAGATATCAATAGAGAAAACATAATGTTCTTGTTCCAATCCATCAGGATTCTTACAATCTAGATGGGGGTTGGCAAACTTTTTCTATAAAAGCCCAGATAGTAAATATTTTATGCTTTGTGGACCACATAGGGTCTCCGTTGGATATTCTTTTTTTTTTTTTTAATAGAATCATTTAAGAATGTAATGAAATGTGAGAAGGGCACATGAGCACTGTAGTCACTAAGGGCTTTGATGACGATTAACAAATGATAAGTAAATTAATGTTTGTATAGTAAGCTAGGCACTACAGTCAGTGGGAAAGAACAAGCATCACATGGGGACCAGGAAGTAGCCAAGTTTCACTGGAATTTATTACTTTCTGTGAGAAAATATACACTAGAGAGTTCTCTTTATATACACCATAGCGTCCTCCTTCTAGGATGTTAGTGTCTCAATGACACGGCTGTCCACCATCCTTTCCAGCCTTATATTTTTTATCTTTTCCAGATTTTTTATATCTTTTATATCCTTTCCAGCTACTTATTTATATATTTTATATCATTTCCAGTTATTTTATATATTTTATATCCTTTCCAGCTTTATATTTATATACATACATATTGTGTGTGTGTGTGTGTGTGTGTGTGTGTGTGTGTGTGTGTGTATACAAATTAATACATATGGCTGAGTGGTGGCTCGCTTTGGGAAACTGAGGTGGGAGGATCACTTAAGCCCAGGAGTTCAAAGACCAACTTGGGTAATGGAGTGAGACCTCATCTCTACAAAAAAACAACTTTTTTTTTAATTAGCCAGGCATGTTGGCACATGCCTGTAGTGCCAGCTACTCAGGAGGATGAGGTGGGAGGATGGCCTGAGCCTGGGATGTTGAGGCTGCAGTGGGCCAAGATCGTGCCATTGCACTCCAGCCTGAGTGACGGAGTGAGACTCTGTCTCAAAACAAAGAACAACAACAACAAAAAAAAACTATATGACTTTGAGATAGAAAATATGGGCTGTGTGCAGTGGCAGTGGCTGGTAGATCACTTGAAGCCAGGAATTCAAGACTAGTCTGGCCAACATGGCAAAACTCTGTCTCTACTAAAAATATAAAAATTAGCCAGGCATGGTGGCACACGCCTATAATCCCAGCTACTCGAGAGGCTGAGGCACTATAATCGCTTGAACCTGGGAGGCAGAGGTTGCAATGAGCAGAGATTACACCATTGCACTCCAGCCTGGCTGACAGAGCAAGACTCTGTCTCAAAAATTTAAAAAAAAAAAAAGAATTAGAATATATAAAATGCTTAGCCTGACCAACATGGTGAAACCCCATCTCTACCAAAAAATACAAAACTTAGCCAGGCATAATGGTGGGTACCTGTAATCCCAGCTACTGGGGAGGCTAAGGCAGGAGAATTGCTTGGACCCAGGAAGCAGAGATTGCAGTGAGACGAGATCACACCACTGCATTCCCACCTGGGTGACAGGAGTGAGACTCTATCTAAAAAACAAAAAAGAAAATCAAACAAAAATAAATCCAGCTAGCAAATAAATAAATAATACATAAATCCGGTTGGCCTATGTTGACAGGTCTGTCCTCTTGACACAAACTATACTTGTTCTCTCTGGGTTCGGGAATCTAGGGTATGAGCCAACATATATGCTTGTCTGAAAGCGCCATTTATCTCTGCATCTTTCTCACTGAGCCTTAACTTATTATCCTTATTCTGTGCACCTTAGTAAAATCTCTGCTACTGTGAGGTCCTACTGGGGGCCTTTCAACAACCCTGCCCAGGCCTAGGGTCTCCTGGGACCACAAACATTAAAAAAATGGAAGCAGCCAACACACCACCTCTGGACAGCAGAGACCAGTGCAATGCATTCCTTTTCTCTTTGCTCCAATCTCCTTCTATTCCCTGTCCTTCTCTCTTCCTCTCCCCATCTCTCTTCTCTCTTCTTCCCTCATCAATTCCCCTTCCCCATCCTAAACCTTGCTACTCCTCCAGCTCTACCAGGACACTTGCCTAACAGGGTCAGAACACCAACCCAAAGAAGCACAAAGAAAGCAGGAAGGCCTTTTAACACTACTCCTGACCCACCCACCTGACCACCTTCTCTGTCACACTCAGGCCTCCTGGGATGGATGTCACCCGCCTGCTTCTGGCCACCCTGCTGGTCTTCCTCTGCTTCTTCACTGCCTACAGCCACCTGCCACCCGAGGAGAAGCTCCAAGATGACAGAAGCCTGAGAAGCAACTCCTCTGTGAACCTACTGGATTTACCTTCTGTCTCTATTGTGGGTAAGTCACCTAATCTCTGGGCTCTGGCCCAGGAGAGGGGCTGCAGGAGATCAAGCATGCTCCCCGGGGTGCTACCAGGATCCACTGCCATGGTCACGGCTCCTTCTTGCTCATTCCATTAAATAATCCTGGGAGAATAAGTGTCCCTTGACTCATTTGGTTTGGAAAAGGTCTGCATGTCACTAATCTAATATACAGCTTAGCATGGCGGAGGCTCTGAAAGGCCTAGAGTTAAGACATTTGGTGAACTTCATTTAACTTAGCATTTCTGAAACTTAATGAATCACATAACTCCCATCAACAGTAACAAACTTGGGCCGGGCGTGGTTGCTCATGCCTGTAATCCCAGCACTTTGGGAGGCCGAGGCGGGTGGATCACGAGGTCAAGAGATCGAGACCATCCTGGTCAACATGGTGAAACTCCGTCTCTACTAAAAATACAAAACATTAGCTGGGCATGGTGGCATGTTCCTGTAATCCCAGCTGCTCGGGAGGTTGAGGCAGGAGAATTGCCTGAACCCAGGAGGCGGAGGTTGCGGTGAGCCAAGATCGCGCCATTGCACTCCAGCCTGGGTAACAAGAGTGAAACTCCGTCTCAAAAAACAAACAAACAAACAAAAAACAGTAACAAACTTTAGGACATGCTTCAGAATATACACAAGTCTGGGATGGACCAGTCCTGCCACGTCAGGGTTGAAAATGATGGCCCAGGGGAAAATATGAGGGGCATTAGAGCCTGGTATTGGAGATCTGGTTTGACTTCACCTGATAATAATCATAGACATACTGTGTGGTAGGCACTGTGAGGTGAGTACATTATTCATATTTCACAGTTGGGGAACTTGAGGCTTAGGAGAGTTAAGTAACTAGCATGGATCACAGTTTTCAACTGGCAAAGCCAGAATTCAAAATCAGGTGCTTAATTCTAGAACCTAAGCCTAAACTCAACACTAATATCCCTTACTACCTTGCCTTTTGCTAGGAAAAGAGGATATTTGGGGCTGGGTGAAGTGGCTCATGCCTGTAATCCCAGCACTTTAGGGAGCTGAGGCATGAGCATTATTTGAGCCTAGGAGCTCAAGACCAGCCTAAGCAACATAGGGAGACCCTGTCTCTACAGAAAAATTTAAAAACTAGCAAGGCATGATGGTGTGCACCTATAATCCCAGCACTTTGGTAGGCTAAGGCAGGCAGCTCTCTTGAGCTCAGGTGTTCGAGACCAGCCTGGTCAACAGAATGAAACCCCATCTCTACTAAAAATACAAAAATTAACCAGGCATGGTGGCATGCACCTGTAGCCCCAGCTACTTGGGAGACTGAGGTGGGAAGATCGTTTGAGCCTACAATGAGCTGTGATTGTGCTACTGTACTCCAGCCTGGGTGACAGAGTAACACCTTGTCTCAAAAACAAACAAAAACTAGCCAGAAATGGTGGTGCATGCCTATGGTTCTAGCTATTTGAGAGGCTGAGGCAGGAGGATTGCTTGAGCTTAGGAGGTCGAGGATGCAGAGAGCTGTGATCACACCACTGTACTCCAGCCTGGGTGACAGAGAGACCCTGTCTCAAAAAAGAACTGTTTTAATAAATAAATAATCAACCAGGCATCATGGCTCATGCCTGTAATCCCAGCACTTTGGGAGGCCAAGGCGGTCAGATTACCTGAGGTCAAGTGTTTGAGACCAGCCTAGCCAACATGGCAAAACCCCATCTCTACTAAAAATACAAAAATTACCTGCGCGTGGTGGTACACACCTGTAATCCCACCTACTCAGGAGGCTGAGACAGGAGAATCACTTGAACCCAGGAGGCGGAGGTTGAGCAGTGAGCTGAGATCACACCACTGTACTGTAGCCTGGGCGACAGAGTGAGACTTTGTCTCAAAATTTAAAAAAACGAAGAAAGAAAGAAAAGAGGATATTCTACACATATCAGACAGGGAAGTGAAGAAACAACATTCATTGATCTTCAATGTAACAGACTTTTCAGTTTATAAACAGACTTCGTTTATCCTCAAGACAAAATTGCAAGGCAGCTATTATAGAACCTTTTTTGCAGAAGAAAAAACTGACTCTCAAGGAGGATAAGTAAGGTAACCACAGCCACACAGTCATTATATTGGTAGAGTCAGGATTCAAATAAGGTCTGCTTGGCACCAAAGCTGTGAGGAATGGAAAACAGAAAACACAGGTGCATCAGTGTACAAGACAGGAGTCCATTTTCAGTGTATCACAATGTTCCTGCTCCTGCCACAATGGAGATGAAAAAAGGGGCACCTGGGGTGGCTGTGAGTGGCCCAAGCTCACGTAGGTCAAGGGACCAGGCCCCACATGAGTGCCACAGACAGATCCCAGTGCCTGCTTGGATTTCCCATTTGCCTTCCCTCAGGGGACATGTTGCTATCAGTGCCTGGCTCCAAGTCAGCAGCCGGGCTAACAGGAGCCTACTTGCTTGAGTCTCACAGTGTGACTCATCCGGCCCACTTCTCTTCCTCTCCCCTACCCTGCGACTTCCCAAGCCCCCTCTGCCCCTCTCACTTCATTGCAGCTCAATGTCCCCAGAAACATCTCTCTTTGCTCCTTCTCTCTTTGAAGCATTGAACAAGAAATCCAAGAAGATCAGCAGGAAAGAAGCAGAAAAGAAGAGATCTTCTAAGGTAAGGACAGGGAAGTTCTGGGAGCTCTCATTGTTGGGATGAGACTGGACTTAAAGGAGGAGGACCCCCAAGCTCTGGCTAAGAACTAAATAAAAGATTTTTCAGACCTATATTAACAGAAGAAACTGAAAGCTATTAAAGACTTCCTGACTTGAGCTCTGAGCCAGACCAGCACAGAGGCCCTGGCAGCTGAAGTCCACTGAGCAAAATAGATTACCTGCTGAAAAGCAGCTTCCTCTACTAGTTAGCCTCTGCCTGAAATTTCACCATCACTCATCCTTTGGATGAATGTGGTGTTTCCCAAACCTCAGTCATTTCCGAACCAAATTTACAACTTTTGCCATATCCGAGTTTCACCTATGTATTTAATATATTTATTTAAAATTAAAACTTAGGCTGGGAGCGGTGGCTCAGGCCTGTAATTCCAGCACTTTGGGAGGCCAAGGTGAGCAGATCACCTGAGGTCAGGAGTTTGAGACCAGCCTGGGCAACATGGTGAAACCCCATCTCTACTAAAAATACAAAAATTAGCCAGGCGTGATGGCACATGCCTGTAATCCCAGCTACCCAGGAGGCTGAGGCAGGAGAATCACTGGAACCCGGGAGGTGGAGGTTGCAGTGAGCCAAGATCACACCATTGCACTCCAGCCTAGGCAACAGAGCAAAATTCTATCCAAAAAAAAAAAAAAATGCAGATTAGCAAGTGTTAGAAAAGCTCTAAGGACATGTTAGCACCAAATTGATCATTTCAAGTTGAAAAAGATTGAAAAAATAATCCTTTCTCACTGTATAATTGAGGGTCATTTAACATTCGCGTACCTTTAAAATCATACCACCATTAACACAGGTTCCCACTTTGGGAAATACCAGACTGAGGCACTGTTGAAATGCATACCTTATTCCTGTCTTAGTGTGCCTCTATTTATCATATCAACTGTAACCAGAGCAAGGAGCACTGGATTAGGTATTAGGAGGTAGGATCTAGCACTGTGTGGTGTTGAGAAAGTCCCTGCTCCTCTCTAGGCGTATTGTGTTGGCTGTAAAGTGAACAAGCAAGATGAGATTATTGACAGGTAACAATATATAACTGACAAATATATTTATATGCTAAGCACTGGGAACATAGTGGTGAATAAGAAAGATATATCCTATCCCTGATCTCATGGAGTTTACATTCTTGTGGAGAAAACAGGTGAACAGCAAGTAAATCAGTACATAGGTAAATACATTCAGATGATAGAGTGAGAAGAAATTACAGCATGGTAATGAAAGTGAAGAGAAGAGGCCTTGGGAAGGCCTCTCTAAGGAAGCAGCATTTCAATAGACTGAAAAAATCAGGAACCTAGAGCAGCAGTGTCCAACAGAAATACAATGTGAGGCCAGGCATGGTGGCTTATGGCTGTAAACCCTGTCTCTCCTAAAAATACAAAAATTAGCCAGGCGTGGTAGTGCATGCCTGTAATCCCAGCTACTTAGAAGGCTGAGGCAGGAGAATCGCTTGTCCCCGGAAGCCAGAGGTTGCAGTGAGCCGGGATTGTGCCATTGTACTCCAGCCTGGGAGACAAGAATGAAACTCTGTCTGAAAAAAGAACTACAGTATGAATGACTTAATTTTAAATTTGCTGATAGCCACATTTTTAAAAAGTAAAAAAAAAAAAAAAAAAAAAAAAAAAAGTGCAATTAATTGCAATATTTTATTTAATCCAGTATATTCAAAATATTAACATTTCAATGTTATTAATTTTAAAAGTTATTGAAGTAATTTATTCTTTTTGTTATGCTAAATCTTTGAAATCTGGTGCATAGTTTACAATATCACATCTCATTCCAATGCTCAATTTTCAATAGCATGAAATGTAGTCCTAACGAAAAAGTTGTGTTTAAGGGGAAAAAATATTTTTATACAGCTTCAGCTTTACATTTTAAATTTAAATTAAATTAGAGAATTCAGTTTCTAGGTTGTACTAGACACATTTCACATATTCAGTAGCCACATATGACCAACCAACCAGTGGCTACCTGTATTGAAGGTACAGGGACCAGTGGCTGTTTCCTTCCCAGGAAAGGAAGCAGCAAGCTATGGCAGCAGTGTCCAAGACAGCTCCTGCTGAATCCTACAGCAGGAACTCATCTGCTGCGTTCCATGCAGAGAAGGCAGGACACTGGGGCAGTGAAGTTAAGATGGGTTGGAGAGGAAGGCAAGGGCCAAATGTCAAAAGTCAAAAGAAAGTTTGTTTCATTTTAAGTTCAAAGAGAAACCATTTAGGCTGGGCGTGGTGGCTCATGTCTGTGATCCCAGCACTTTGGGAGGCTGAAGAGGGTAGATCATGAGGTCAGGAGATCGAGGCCATCCTGTCCAACATGGTGAAACCCCCTCTCTACTAAAAATACAAAAAAAAAAAAAAAAAAAAAATTAGTGGGCTGAGGCAGGAGAGTCACTTGAACCTGGGAGGCAGAGGCTTCAGTGAGCAGAGATCATGCCACTGCACTCCAGCCTGGGTGACATGGCGAGACTCCGACTCAAAAAAAGAAAATTAGAAACCACTCAGTGTCTTTAAGCCAGGTTGGTATGTGATCACAGGTCTTCCAAGATGTCCCTTTAGTGCTGGTGAATGGACCCTAAGGGAGCCAGAGCTAAAGAGGGGAGAAGACAGCGACGGAAGTGGAAACATGGGTGGACTTTGGATCTGTTGTGATGAAGAACTCACAGATATTGTGGATAGGCTGGAAGGGAAGTCATAGATGATATTTTACACCTAGGGAGAGAGCCGGGCGCCATGGTTCATGCCTGTAATCCCAGCACTTTGGGAGGCCAAGTGTTGGAAACGGAAGCTCAGTGCCACAAAGCAAAATCAGCACTGAGACAAAGATCTTTCAGCAATGCAATTTTTACTTCCTAGACTGCAGGAAAGGGTAACTTTCACTAGCCATCTTACCACGGCAGTAGAGTGAACAAAGGAAAACACACAAAGTTATCTTTTACGCATTTGGGGTGTCCTTACTGCTGTGTTTGATGTCTGTTGGCTGGAGCCAGACCTCACAATCTAAACTAAAACCCAATTGGCTAACAACTTTAAACTTTCCTTTTTGTTTTTGTTTTTGTTTTGAGAGAGAGTTTCACTCTTGTTGCCCAGGCTAGAGTGAAATGGCATGATCTTAGCTCATCGCAACCTCCCTCTCCTGGGTTCAAGCAATTCTCCTGCCTCAGCCCCCCAAGTAGCTGGGATTACAGGCATGTGCCACCACACCCAGCTAATTTTTTGAATTTTTAGTTAAGACGGGGTTTCTCCATGTTGGTCAGGCTGGTCTCAAACTCCCGACCTCAGGTGATCCACCCGCCTTGGCTTCCCAAAGTGCTGGGATTACAGGCATGAGCCACCACGCCCAGCCACAACTTACTCATCTAAACAGGTAAAAGTAATAGCTGGGACATGCCTGTGAGCATGTCCAGCACAGATATCTTGGTTAAAGTACAAGGACATAGAATATACTATGTGCCTGTAAGCATGGCATGTTTAACAGCTACATAGGATAGGGCTTAACTAAGTTATTAGCATACTTACTCTTAACAAGAAAAGAAACTTTAAAAAGGAACTTTTCTACTTCCCACACCGAGGCAGGCAGATCACTTGAGCCCAGAAGTTTGAGCCAGCCTGGGCAACATAGTGAGACCTCTATCTACAAAAAATAGAAAATAAAATTAGCCAGGGTGGTGGCGCGCACCTGTGGCTCCAGCTACTTGGGAGGCTTAAGTAGAAGAATCACCTGAGCCCAGGAGGTCGAAGTTGCAGTGAGCCGAGATCGCGCCACTGCACTCCAGCCTGGGCAACAGAATGAAACCTTGTCTAAAAAACAAAACAAAAACTAGGGAGAAGAGGGCCAGGGCCAGGCAAGAGCCAGGTAAGTCTAGATGGGAATGGAGGTGAGGGTATCTGACTGGGGAGCTGGCAGGGACCCTGCGGGTTTGAGTTGAGCCGGCGGTGGACAAGCAGGAGGAGAAATCTCTGGGCCGGGACCTCCCTAGCCCGAGGAGCTCCCAGGCAGAGGTGAAGACGCGAGGGGCGGGCGTGGCTGGCCCGTAAAGCCCCGGCGTTTCCCACGCAGAAGGCGGCTTCGAAGCAGAAAGTGGCGCAGCGCCAGACCCCCCTATCCGCGTCCTGCGTGGCCACCCGCGGCAGCTGCAAGCCGCCAGCACCCGCCTGCTGCCACCCGTGCGCCTCCTGCCAGTGCCGCTTCTTCCGCAGCGCCTGCTCCTGCCACGTACTCAACGTCAACTGCTGAGCGCGCCCCTTCCCGGCCGCGGGCGGGCAGGGCTTCGGGGACTTGGGGCGCTTCTCGGGCGGGTGATCCCTAACAGGACGGCTTCCCAGGGCTGGTTGCGGGCGGAGCTTCCAGGAGGTGGGACTTAAGGGAGACCTGGCTAAAGTCGAAATACAATATATGTCGGATGCTCGAAGGTGTTCGGCTGTTTCTGTGAAGGTCCCGAAAGCTCTCGGTCTCTGCGTCACGGAGTCCCGCGGACTGCGCACGCGCTCTTCTGGGGCTCGGGAAAGCCGGTGGTCCCACCCCCACAGCTGCACTCCCAGTCACCGCTTCTCCGAGCTGAGCGTTGGGAACGAGGCTACCCCCTACCTTTAAACCTGAGAACACCTGAGGCTGCCTCCAAAACCAGGGAATTCAGACCAGCCAGGCAGAAAGGAGCCACAAAGGAACCGCCTTTCAGTCTTCCACATTTCCTCCTAGGAGCTCCCTTCTCCCCAGGGGGCAAAAAAAGGAAAGAAAGAAATCCGAGGCAGGAGGATCACTTGAGCCCAGAAGTTCAAACCAGCCTGGGCAACTAGTGAGACCCCCCACCCCTCCCACCGCCCCGCCCCGCGTCTCTACAAAAAATTTTTTACAATTAGCCGGGTGTGGTGGCGTGCGCCTGTAGTCGAAGCTACTCAGGCAGCTAAGGCAGGAAGATCGCTTGAGCCCTGGAATTTTGAGGCTGCAGTGAGCTATGATCACACCACGGCACCCCAGCCTTGGTAACAGAGTGAAACTGTGTGTTTAAAAAAAAGGAAATAATCATTCCTGTCCTGTTGCCTCTTTGTTCTTTAAAACAACAAGAAACAAACACACATACACACTCACACACGGGAAAACTGCCAGTTGCTTGTTTTGTTTTCTATCATTTAGGCTCCAGTCCCACAGCGCAAGAATCTTTTGTTTCTTGTATTATAGCTGCTGCTGAGTAAATGTCATATTGGGAACATATTGCAATCACTGCTCCCGTTTTCCAGACACTGTTCACCGAGCAGGCACCATTTGGCCCCCAGGGGTGAGGCCAGGATGCAAAGCTAAAGACTCAGTCCATTAGTAACAAAGCCATTTGCCTGCTGGGTCCAGACAACCATATGAAAGACCAGCCCTTTCATTCATTCAGCAAATGTGTATTGAGCACCTACTGTGTGCCAGGTGCTGTGGACATAGTGGTGAAGAAGTCCAATATGGATCCTCTCCTTAGAAAGCTTATGTATGGTCCAGTGACCCATGGCCATTACCCTTGTTAGAGGGTAGAACCCTTATTACCATATGTGGTCTATTCCCTCAGGCTATGTATCAGTTTTGTTTTTTCTTTAGAGATGGGCTCTTGCTATGTTGCCCAGGCTGGTCTCAAACTCCTGGTCTCAAGCAATCCTCCTGCGTCAGCCTTCCAAAGTGCTGGGATTACAGAAATAGTGGATGGACCCAGCCAGTTCTTGCTTTTGCTTTTTGTTTGTTTTGAGAAGGAGTCTTAGCTGGGTGTGGTGGCTCACACCTGTAATCCCAGCACTTTGGGAGGCCAAGGTGGGTGGATCCTGCCGTCGAGATTGAGACCATCCTGGCCAACATGGTGAAACCCCATCTCTACCAACAATACAAAAATTAGCTGGGTGTGGTGGCACATGCCTGTAGTCCCAGCTACTGGGGAGGCTGAGGCAGGAGAAACACGAACGGGGAGGCAGAGGTTGCAGTGAGCTGAGATCGTGCCACTGCACTCCAGCCTGGCAACAGAGTGAGACTCCATCTCAAAAAAAAAGGAATTTCACTCTGTCACTCAGGCTGGAGTGCGGTGGTGCAATCTTGTCTCACTGGACCCTCCACCTCCCAGGCTCAAGCTGTCCTCCAACCTCAGCCTCCCAAGTAGCTGGGACCCCAGGACTCAAGAGATACTCGTGTGTGAGTAGCTAGAATTACAGGCATGCACCACCACAACCAGCTAATTTTTGTATTTTTAGTAGAGACAGGGTTTTGCCATGTTGGCCAGGCTGGTCTCGAACTCCTGGCCTCAAGTTATCCGCCTGCCTCTGCCTCCCAAAGTGCTGGGATTACAGGTGTGAGCCACTGCGCCCCATCTCCTTCTTTTCAGAATTCCTCCTCAAGTCTAAGGTGCTGAGAGCATTGTCCTGGGCCTCTCAAAACTCTGCTGTTCTAATGACCAGAACTGAAACTCACATTTGTGACTCCGAATTATGGTTCAGTTGTTATGAGAATCTGGGACCGCCATCTCCAACACCGTTATTCATTCTATTTCTGTCTCACACACACAGGATAAACTCTGACTTAGGAAGATTTGCCTTACCTTTGTAGCCATTGAGTCAGGATCATTTCTTCCTGAAGGGTTTAGCCTTAAACTTGTGCCCAAAGTTCTTATAGTGTGGCCTTCAACAGATGAAGAGATGCATATGGGAAGGGGTGCAGAGTTTCCGCATCCTCCCTGACCATGCCACCTTCTAGGAACCCCAGCATGCTTGGCTATCAGGAAGCTCTCTGAAGCCTGTCCTCTTGGGTTTGTATGGAGGCTTCATTACATAGGCATGATTGATTAAACCATTGGCTGTTGGTGATCAACTTCACCTTCAGCCTCTCTCTCCTCCCCAGAGGTTGGGGGATGGAGCTGAAAGTCCCAACCCCTAATCATGCCTTTGCCGTTGTGGTGACCAGCATTCTGAAGCCTTCAGTCAACATTAGCAAATAAGATAGCATTACTGGGTATATATCCAAAGGATTATAAATCGTTCCACTATAAGGAGGCATGCACACGAATGTTCATTGCAGCACTGTTTACAATAGCAAAGACCTGGAACCAACCCAAATGCCCATTGATGATAGACTGGACAGGGAAAATGTGGTACATATACACCATGGAATATTATGCAGCCATCAAAAACGATGAGTTTGTGTCCTTTGTAGGGACATGGATGAACCTGGAAACCATCATTCTCAGCAAACTGACACAAGAGCAGAAAATCAAACACCGCATGTTCTCACTCATAGGCGGGTGTTGAACAATGAGAACACATGGACACAGGGAGGGGAGCACTACACACTGGGGTCTGTTGGGGGGAAATGGGGGAGGGACGGGGGGTGGGGAGAAGGGGAGAGATAGCATGGGGAGAAATGCCAGATATAGGTGAAGGGGAGGAAGGCAGCAAATCACACTGCCATGTGTGTACCTATGCAACAATCTTGCATGTTCTTCACATGTACCCCAAAAGCTAAAATGCAATTAAAAAAAAAAAAGATAGTACTTCCGCGATTCCAAGGATTTTAGGAGTTGTATGTACGCCAGGATACAGGGACGAAGATCAAATATATATTTCGCTATAGTATACTTACAAAGTCTGTAATGTGGGAGGCATCAAGGATATAGTTGCTAGAGGGGCAAAATTCACAACTGGCCACTGTAAGAGGGCTGCACTCTGGGTTTATTTCAAAGCTGCCTTCGACCCTGAAAATTCTGTGACATAATCCAAAGCAATGGTTTTCCAAGTTTTTTATTTTAAAGAGAGGTAACTTTTCCTCAGTTGAAATCTTTTTATTTTTATTTTTTTTATAACCTAGGATTCTTCCAGTGATTAAGCTCACTGGAAATCTTTTTTTTTTTTTTTTTTTGGCTGGAGTGCAATGGCAACATCGGGTTCACTGCAGCCTCTGTCTCCCAGGTTCAAGCGATTTTCTTGTCTCAGTCTCCCAAGTAGCTGGGATTACAGGTGCATGCTACCACATCCAGCTAATTTTTATATTTTTATTTTTTTTATTTTTTTTTATTTATTTATTTATTTATTTTTGAGACGGAGTCTCGCTCTTGTTACCCAGGCTGGAGTGCAATGGCGCGATCTCGGCTCACCGCAACCTCCGCCTCCTGGGTTCAGGCAATTCTCCTGCCTCAGCCTCCTGAGTAGCTGGGATTACAGGCACGCACCACCATGCCCAGCTAATTTTTTGTATTTTTAGTAGAGACGGGGTTTCACCATGTTGACCAGGATGGTCTCGATCTCTTGACCTCGTGATCCACCCGCCTCGGCCTCCCAGAGTGCTGGGATTACAGGCTTGAGCCACCGCGCCCGGTCCAATTTTTATATTTTTAGTAGAGTTTCATCATATTGGTCAGGCTGGTCTCAAACTCCTGGCCTCAGGTGATCCACCCACCTCTGCCTCCCAAAGTGCTGGGATTACCGGTGTAAGCCACCATGCCTAGCCTGTGTTGACTTCATCCTAAGGCAAGCTGGCCTTCATGGGTGCAAAGGAACAGCTACAGGCTCACATTCCTTCCAATACTGGCAGCCCCACTGAAGAGAGTACCTTTTCTCCATTTTCAAGATAGCTGGGTCTCTTTTATAGCTGCCACCTCGACCTACTGTGCAACAGGTGCAGAGGCCAATTCTACACTTGGTATGTACCAGCAGCATTGGGCAACTCTGGGGAAGGAGTTAAAATATACATTATAAAGCCTCACCCCAGACCTACAGACTCAGGACTGGGGTTGGGGCCCAAGGAATCTGTGTTAATAAGCCCTCCAGGTGGTTCTGAGGCTTGCTCAAGTTTAAGAATCACTGGGTTACGGAACAGGCTGTATGTATGTAGGGGAATACATACAGACCGGCAGTTAGTAGGAAAAGTAGGCACAGTTCCCCACAAGAGAGGCTGAGGTGGGGCACTCAGGACACAGTGTGGGTGGATACTCTAGGGAGGCACCCACCTGTTTCTCTCCCTTGTACTAGGGCAAGTATGAGAACACTGAGCATGGGTGATCAGACTATTATGATGCGAGGCAGTGTGAATTTAGGCACCGATGACCTATGGGAGTTGTCAGGAAAACCCACCACCCAGCACCTGGAGGTCTTCAGAACCCTTGGAAGGTTGTGACTCCTCCCACCAGGGAGCAGCAACCTCTAGTCTTGGGGGAATATGAGTCCAAACAGTCCACAGAGTGAATCCTAGGTCACTCTTGCACCACACCAGATTTCCAGCAAAAGTCCTAAAGTCCCGGGATTGAGTCCAGACCAACTTGAGCCACATGTCTGTCTTTGAGCCAATTTGGAGAAGCAGTCAATGTGGAACTGATTGAAGCTTGGATCATTGCGCACCCCTGGCTGCCTCTACCATCTCAAGCAGGTTTCCTAGCTTGATCCCCAGGGCTAGTCCTG